CGGAAGCCCCAAATGCAATTTCATTGTTCTCTGACAATGACAATAAATAAATAAATACTAAATACGAAATATGTGTAACAGTTTGTGTTTGGTGAAATTTGCTGAGCAGTTTCAGACACTACATTTGAAGTTAGCTGCCCCTTGCTTACAATGTACTTCTGTAGCACCAGCTATATGATGAAACGGCTTCATTAACTGAAGGTGCTCACTTTAACCACCAGCTGTAAAGACTATCCTTGTGGAAATGCTGTGTCAGTCCAGCAGGTACTTTTTTTAATCATGAAGGAAAGCTCTTACTGCGGGCCACTCTAATTTAGGTGACTTTCCCATGATAAGTCTAATTAAACCAGATTAATTTCTTAAACGAAACCTCTTACTGGTAGATAATCTTTATCAACATTATAAAATGCCCTGTAATTGTATTCCTGGACTAAGACGTATTCAGGTGTAGTGAACATGAGACGTAGAAGATCGAAATGACTCACGCCGAAATAAATACATTAAAAATCTGTACATAAATTTAAAAAAAAAACCTTTAATTTGACCAATATTTTACAATTAATCTACATATAGTATACTGTTAGTTTTTTTTTGTTTATTTACCCATTATTTAGTTATCATTTATCAATATTTCTCTCTATGTTAATATTTATGGAAGTCCTGCACCACTTTCATAACCTTGTTCAGAGTCATTTTCAAGAGTTAAAAACATAGATTGTATATAAAAGAGGAATGTTGTGATATTACCATCTTATAGCTACAGATACCTCCTAAGTGCTAAGTAATATACAAATAATGCACAGCCTCTTGGGCAGGCGAACAACACACTGTATTATTATTATTTATCACGCCATTCTGATAAAATTGTTTAAAAGGCACCAACAACACAAACACAGGAGTGAGGATAGGTCAGAGGGAGAAACCAGGCCACCTACAGCTATCTGTGTCTGTGCGCCTGTCAAACAAAGCAGCCATGCTGCTATGAGTAGCACCTTCCTACTCAGCTGACCCAAACACACACGTTCATATATTGCTTTTATCTATACCTAAGGACTTTCTTACAATTATACACACACACACACACACTCGGGGGTCAGTACCCAAGGATCCTGCAAGACAACCTGCTCAACCACCTGAACCAAAGTTGCCCAGATGCAAAACAATCCAGCATCGCAAACAGACTCTGCAGACAGTCTGACCTGCAAAAACTATTAATTTTCAACATTTTTTCTGATGAAAGTATGTTAATGGATATTAGTTTGAGGACCGAACTTTATGCAAGTCAGTGTGAGGAAGACTGTTCTGTTTTTTTGCACCCATACTTCTACTGTTATGAAATTATTCTCCACCTAGATTTTTTATCTTTTTTCCAATTACTGAACTAAAATAAAAATTGTTTGTTTGGTTTCTCTTCCTTCCCCATAGATTAGACAGAGAGTGTTAAACACACACTTAGCGGGTCTGTCGCCGTGCTGTGGCACGCGCTATTTACAAGTGTAAACACTCCCAAACTTCCCAGCAGCAGTATACACATGCACGAGGACACTCCTCAACTTACAGCGCGTGTCTGGCCCCTCCTCATCGTGATCCCGTTATCAAAACATCAGCCTCTACTAGATACAGTAGCTGCTGAGAGCGAAGCAGTGACAGAAAGCAGTCCGGCTGTTTGCAGAGAACACCTGGATCTGTTCAATTATGGACGCTTCGGTAAAAACAGCAGGAAAATGCACAGAGGCAGCGAGGGGGGATTTAAAGGAAGGTGAAGTGGCACAGAGCTCCCGCGGCTGTTGCCAGAAATGTGTCCCTGGATTCATTCCGACAGTTTACCGCAATGAGCTTGTGCAACTTTTCAAACTAGCGGGACCAGTGGTAAGACTGTGTGGACACAACAACTGAATAGCTATATTTAACTGTAGTGGTGTTTTTATTCGGACATTATTTGGCATCCCTGTTTGTCGCTCTCTGTGTGATGTTACTGACAGGAAGAGCTGATTTACTACAGACGTTGTGCCATGTGTCAGTAAACTTGGGACTCGTTCTTACGACTGTGTTATATCTCGTCCCGTTTGTTTAAACTAAACAAACCCGGGACTGTAGGACCGAGCTGTTTATATCTGTTTAGTTGCTTAGACAGGTTTGTGTTAGGTTTTGTATTGTTGGTTGTCATTTATGCTTAGAAATATTTAACCATGTATGCTTAGAGGTGTATAATTAATTGTGTAGTGATAGGTTGTGTGATCTTTAACAGGCTGCAGAGGCTTGGTGTGTATTCCACACTAGAATGCACACCCACATCCTGGGAGCACGAGAGAGGTCGTACCTT